GCCTTTGGTCCTGCAGTACCTTTAAAATGTCACTGTATATTAATCTTACCTTATGCTTTTGCTGTAGAGTTTGATTTACACCTTTAGTTTGGACTGCTATTTCAGATATTTCCTGTAGCATTAAACAAATAGTACATGTGAAAATTGCAATGAAACCATGAGTCCTATTTCTTTCTCAGCTCAATCACCCACTTCTCTGTTAATTATTTCTTTGACTCTAGAAATCTACGAGCAGGCTCTCATCACTTCTGCAAAGCATTCAAGCAAAATTCAATTGGACTAAAGGTTTGTGAGAATCTGATACCAGACCCTAACAAACCTAACAAACCTCTTACATGCTTGCTTTGCTTGGCTTCTTGAACACACAGGCATCCACAACACATGCTTCAGTGCCACAGAGAGGCTACAGCTCTAGAGGCTAAGCTGGGCATCAGCTTACAGTTTAAATTAAGCAGCAAATCTAAAGGAGTTTTCAGTAATGTATTTTTAAACACCTTTTCTCGTTTCCATTGTTCTGCTTTAAGTTGTTTGTTATTCTTTAACTTTGGCTGAGGGAAATTAAGATAAGGAAAAAGAAATGTCAGAGACTCATTCAAGCAATTAGCTTAAGAAATCTAAAATAGCAAAATAACAACTCTGAAAGATATAACCAGCCCTAACCTAATAATATATCATGTAAACATGGTCATCAAAGCCTAATAAAACCCTACAAATTAAGTATTTAGGTTTGGCTTAAGTCAAAGTTAGCGAGAATTAAAACTGGATATTTTCTTGCCTGATTTCCTTTCACTCCTTTTTGTTTAATTTTTCCATTTGACAGGTTTCTCTGCTTTCAAAAAGAGCCTCATCGTTATACAAATAAATATATAAATCATATCAAGTGCAATTTAGTTGTTTACAAATCACATTGATGCTTACATCACAGAACTTCTTTTTATTGGCCTCTCTCTGCTCTTTGAGGTTTGCAAAACTTGTGAACTGAGCCATCTAATACATAGTGGAAAAAAAACAAAGGATCAGAACATTTAAGCTTACAGTTGAGAAAATTTAAAATCATTCATCACTATGAGTCAAAGACAACTCACTGAACAACTCTAAAGGACAAAGAAATTCTACTGGCCCATGATAATTTTAGTTTTAAAACTCAACACATACTTCTTCTTCTGTGAAGTCTTCATCCTGCTCCTATCATTTACGAAAAAAGGAACAAAAATATCAATTTCCAACAGGGTGTGAAAATACATCTGTGATTTAAATTTCAAAATTTTTTTTTACAATTTGATCTTGTGTTGTGCACCTTTACAAGGGAAGCTAGGAAATCATCATCATCATCTTCTTCTTCTCTTGATCTGCAAAAGAGATATTACAGGAAACATATCCTATTAATATTTAAAGCTTCCCAAATACATTACATATCAGGGAGGTTAATACAAAATTTAAAAGAATTTTAGGAACATTTTAAGTTCAAAGTTTTAAATTGCACATATTACCTTACACATCTGCTGCACTGGCAACAAACTATAGGAGGAAAAAAATGTAAATCTTAGCTTAAAATTACAGTTGCGACAATGCCATACAAAACAATTACAAGGAAAGTTGTTTGAAATACCAACAGGGAGGAAGTTGTCAAGGCAAAAATTTTCCAAAGAGCTAGACTCAAACTCATACAGAAATTTCCAGTGGGGTAGCAGGGTTAAAATAAAAAAGTAGTTTATTGTAAGAATAGATTTAAGGATATTTTCTCTTGTCAGTAATTCATTGCTACCTGGAAGCAGTTTGAGGTACAAGTTTGAAGGACTTATTCACAGGAATATTTTATTTTATCTAGTGCAAACCAGGAAAAGTTAAAATACTGTTACCTCTTTGGATGAACTCATCTCTGAATAAAAAGAAGAAAAACTGATGAAAAAAGAATTAGTATGGGTTTTTTAACAATTATGACACAACTCACACAGACAACAGTGATAAAAGATTAAAAAGTATATATTGGGTCAAATAACAAGAGACTGAAAACACTATCCTCTTCTATACACCTTGTTTCAAGATGATCAGTTTTATTAATATTTCCCATATTACTGCTTTTCTAGAATGCTCTTTGTTAGCTTTTTGTTTCAATCTCTATACAACAAACTCGGAGTTCAGATTTTACCTTTTTCCACAGATCCATGTCATAGTCTTTGTAATCATCGTCACTGTCATCATCTTCATCTCCTTAACACAAAAAAAAAAACAAAAAAAAAAAATGATAAACAGACTCTGCAGTTGGTTTTAATTAAATTCACAGCCAAATTTTTTTCTCTATGAAATTTGTTTGATCCATGTATTATTGGAACAGAGTCAATTCTCTCTTTACCAGTCAGTTGTCGATATGCATGGCCTAACTCCTGGAACTTCTGTGTTGACAAGGGGTCATCAGGATTCTAAGAAATAAATGAATATTTTAGTACAGAGCTACAACCGCACACATAAGAGGGGAGACAGCTAGAAACTCATTCAGCAAGTACTATAATCTGAGTTCATTTCATTACATTATGTGAAACAACCATATTCTTGCCAAGAAATTTAACTTTCTAACAGTCTTTTATACACTAACTATTATCCTCTTAGGAATAACATCTTTTATTGTCCCAGCCTGAGATATGGATTTGATATCACATTTATTGTGTAAGGTACAGTATCAGGCCAGTCTGGCAGAACCCATGGAGATTTTTTGTCAGTGCAGTCACTTTTAGCAGCATCTACCAAAGGCAAAACAACTGGGAGACAAAAACCTATGCATATATAGCTGCAGTACTGCCTTTTAGTTTTAAAACTACCACATAAAACCATATGCTAATGATATGCAAACTGAATACTTAAGCAAAAGACTTGTGTACACTCTTGCCACACTCTTTAGTCTGGGTATCAATACCTTATCTGGGTGACACTGCAGTGCCTTTTTCCTGTAAGCACTCTTGATTTCATCTGACATAAATAGAGAATTTTTCAATACTTTCAACTCCAAAGTCCTCAAGTCTAAATGATAAATCTCCTCTCTATCAATTGTTAAACACTTCTTTATTAGTTATTTAGGAGATTAAGGTATTCTATTAAGATATCACCTTGATCTTACAAGTTTCTTCCCCTTCACCACCAGTTTTGTTGGATAAAGAATTGATATTGTTAAGGATAAATTTCAGTATGTAAACCCCTTTACTCCCATCGTCGGAATTGAAATTCTCCGTTGTGTTAGCCATACGGAGATCTTCTCATCTCATTCCTGTTTAAATCTGTATTAGTCGATACTGAAAGAACTGTACTCTCGGGAGTTGAAGGGCTAAATCACTTCTGGAATATATCATAAACATTATCATCCCTGTAACAGCTTCTTTCCTACTTTCCAAACTGAAATGGTGAAATTTTACAAAATCCATGATATGGAAGCCTACTCGCAGAACATAAATCTATTTCTTTAGTTTCTACATACATCTATCCTGAAACCGATCGATTTGTAAACTTTCAAAAGGTAATACACTTTCGAGAAACATTTAAGCGACAGAGATTTTAATTACAAAGAGTTACTGCGCTATTTACAGCCAGGTTCAGTCAATGCAGAACTGATGAGGATATGGACGATTACACGAAGACAAAGTACAATAATACAATACAAAGACTTTATTTAAACACGATAATTGTTAAAGCGACTACACGCTTGTGGGGTCGTGCAAAACACAGTACTCCATTGCACATAGGCTGAACCTTTCCCTGGATACAGTAATTCCAACTCACGACTGATCAGTTTCAAAGTAACTCTGGCTAAAATTCGGACGTTTAAGCTGAAAAACTCTTCGAATTAGGAAAAAAACAGAATATGCTAACCGTCAAACTGTCGCAGCCGGTACGTACGAAATTCACACAAAAATCAGCTGGTAAATTGTAGGAATTCCTCAAAAAAAATACCTTCTGTTGCGCCATAATTCACGCCAAGGATCTTGTGACACTCTTCTAAAGTCTTTCCCATGGCCAACTCAAATTAGTTTGAGATTTCCCTCACACCACTACCAACGGCATACTAGACAAATGACGAAGATTCGCGCCGGATAAACGCTAACCTCGACTTCAGGTTGAAATTTGTCCGTCTCACCGGATGAGGCCAGTGGCATTTTTTCCAAAAAAATAAGCAATAATTTACGATTTACAGATTTGAGGGCTTAGTAATTCATTTCCTTATTCAATGGGAGGAAACTCTGCGAACTTTATCTCGCACTCGGCAAATTTTTCGCTTGTCCTATTTCTCAAAGAGAGAAACTGGTAACGAAGGTAATTTAGACTGCAAGAGCCCGCTGAGATGGAATAGAAAAGCACACCCGCATTGCTGTGCGCCCTTTCAAAGAAAACCAGCAAATATTCTCCTTGGATGCTTTGCTTGCTTTTTCTGATCAAATGGCAGAAGGCTAATTGTTTAGCATGGACATTTTGTCAGGGTAAGGGATATTTCAATCAAACATATGATTGATACTTACCTGGCAACCAAACAAGAAACCTGCAGGGTACCACATGCACTCTGCCCTAATGGCATGCTGGTCAAAATCTCAATTTCGTTGCAATGATTGCTTTATTGGTGTTTTTTCGAGAAGGAAATTTTCACTCTGAAAATGAGGAGAATGTGAGCCCAAGGGCATGGCTGGGAATTTTTAAATGGAGGGTCACAAATCACACTGTTTTCACACCTAGATTACCCACCCTTCCCTTCTGTGCTGTCAGGTTGAAAACCAAAAATATAATAGCAAAATCCCCTGACATACAAAGTTATGAATCATAATATTCTTATAATCAGAGTCAATATTTAATAACAGGCAATAACTTATAATTGATTTATCCAATAATCAATAACCTTCAAAGCAGAAAATACTTTCCATGAATTGAATGAGTAAGAAACTAGGTTCATTTCATAGCCATTATTTTGGTTTGTCCACAACTGTTTCTTTCTTTCTTTTTTTTTTCTTTTAATATCCTTGCCCTTGCCTCTTATTTCTGCTCCTCCTTTTGAAGAATGAAAAGGTCCATAAGCAGATCAGCTATTCCTTTTTTCACTGCTGCTAGTTTAAAACACTTAAGATTTTATAACTAGCCACACAATTCTAAACTACTTCTCCAGAAATGGAGACAATATCTTGAGGACATAAAAATTGAATCCAGTTCCTAATAAATCCTTTGTTATGGTTATGTGTCCTTATCACTTCACAAAATGACTTCCTCTTAGAAGACCTTCTGAACTCATCACCAGTCAAATTCAGGCTAATAAATACAAACTGTTGTAACAGAAGCCCACACATGCCTAACGAGAAGATGATTGTGTACCAACATGCAACAAACACAACAGAAGACCTGAAAAGGAAAATGAAACCTGTCAGGGAAGGGCTTTATTGAAGTGGGTCGAAGCCAGGTACATTTTGGTATTTTCTCAATGGTTATTTCAGTATGGTGTGTGCAGCATTTATCACATATAGAGAATGTGAAATCCTTTTCCCCCTCTATATATGACTTTTTGTCTTATAATGTTGAGAAATTACCTTCTCTGACAAACTAATCAACACAACAACAACTTCAGATACTCTTTGGGTCAAAATTAAGTTTATGCTTTGCTATTGGGAAATATTGAAATAAAAAAATTAAGTTGGAAACCTTTGCTAATTTGAACGAAAAGATGGCACTTAAATCAATCTTGACAAAAAATACCATGTGACATTGTCTCCTATGAAGCTCCTCTTTGAGATGTCACAAAATGCTTCCTTGTGTGACATTCCAAAGAACGGGTTTGAAGAAGAGAGAGGACTTAGAATTGGACTAAACTTACCGAGAATTAGCATAGACATCTGAACAATCCACATGGAAAATGCTGTTGTCTTTAGATGTGCAGATAGTGAAAAAAGATAGATAGACTCCCCATAGTCCAGTAACCACAAAAGTAATTATAGCAGCAAGGAAGGAATGATGATTGTGCTGTCCAATACAACAGTTTGTCCTGTGAGGAAAACAATAACAAATATGATAAATACATCTCCAAAACATTACCAGATTTCAAAAAAAAAAAAGGAAAGACTGTGTTGATAATTCACTGATAACCAAACATGTTGTAGCAAATGTCCATTCAAAATTGAACTGTATTGAAAATTGAAATTGCTGACTCCCAGCAAGAAAGTGCCTGCATATGTTTTCCCAAGAAAGTTTTCTTTCATCTGAATTTTCAGTCAAGAAGGAACCTACACGATACTTTAATTTAATTTTTCACCATGCAACCTTTGGATAAAACTTATTGTTACTTATGAATTTGGTTTCACTTTCATGACTCAAGTAAATGGCATTGAAAAATACAGATGAAAAGTTTGGCAAGCTTACAATGTTTTTAGTGATTGTGTCACTTGAGTGAACACAGTTAAATAAGACACAATAAATGTTGAATGCAGGAAAAGGGTGACTGCAGAGGAAACCTGAATACAAGTGGTGAAAAAAAAAACTAATTTTATCAAGTATTAATTCTTACCAAACACAATGATGGTCAGATCTTGGAACACAGTAACCACAAATCCTACAAAAAGAGAGAAAGAAAATATATGTCATTATAAATGAGTCACTGAATCTCGCACCCTTGACCCTGAGTTTGTATGTATGCCATACAATATGTGAATGGTATATATTAGAGATAAAATTACAGTAATCTCAAAGCATCTGGGCAAAGAAACAGATTGTCAATACTCACATATCACCACTACTGCTACCCTAATGCACCTTTAAGACCACAAGGGTCTTCATTTGAACAAAGACCTGTGAACTTCTGTTGGAAAATTATAACGAAGGAACGAAAACCAGAGATACTATGTAGTCATGTAAACACTTTTAACTAACGCAGAGAAAACTGGATTTACCACAGAGTCATTTAGGCCTATCAACCTCACTTTACACTGGAGCATTAGTTAGGCCCCTTTTTTTAAAGCCAATAAATACTTCTTAATGTCTCTGTGGTCAAGTAACTTGTAACCTGAGTTCTGTGATCCTGCCTATACCCATCCTGTCCCCTATTCTGCCTTCAAAAGAGAGCATATTCTGGTTTTTCCTTCCAATTTTCATCCTGCATCTCCCCTTTAAAATTTCTCATATCCCATATCCTCTTTGATTTAAGCTTCATCTTGTGTCCTGCCACACCTATGTTGGTCCTTCCTAAATTCTCATGACTTATCAAGCTGTTTTCATTCAGATATAGAAAATGTTCTCCTGTTATTATTTCCTTACACAGTTTTCTTCAGTCTACATCTCCTGGTGTACTCCCTGTTTAAATTGTTTCAAAATGTTGGAATTCCACTAAAGCTAATAACAAGAATACAGCTTTATACCCTACCTACAATGCTTTGCCCTGATAAAAGGTCCTTCAGTACAGAAGCAGCAGTTTATATCCTTATAATCCGTGTCATTGTGATTTGCACTGTTTTGAGGAGGGGGCTTAGAACTCAAAGCGTACGTATTTAAGAGTCTTCTTGACAATATCACTCGTAAGTATAACAACAACACAAGACCAAACCCAAGAGAAAGGACTGCAGAATGAAGGTAGGAATAGAAAGAAGCCACATAAGCAAGATATAGAATAAAATTACCAACAAGAGATGCTAAATTCCAACTTACGAAGAACCAGGTCCTTTTACGCTGGTTGAGCACGTAAATATAATAAATAAGGATGAAGACAGGAACATAGACCAGAGCTAGCACCGTCAAGACTAGACTGTGACTTGCAAAGTAAAGTGATATGCCTAAAAAAAGAATTGGAACAACAAAGTCGAACTCCAATTTCAGGGCACCATTAAACCAAGGAATACGAATGCGATCAGAAATAACCATAGATATATCATGCAGTTTTTGCCCTGAAACTTTGTTTCCTTTGAGGCACTGATCCACGGCGTTGTCTAGTTCATCGCACTCACAACAGAAGGCGAGTATATGTGTTCTTTGGCCATGAAGGTTACGAAATTCACAACAACATAAAGGGGAAGGATCTGTTGCCATTTTCCACCAAGAAGTAGGTGCTATAGGCTCCTCCTTTCCATGTTACGATGTACTATGAAAATATAACTAAAACGCCGAGCATCTAAGCCGCAAATAACAAGTGTGGCATTTTTGGCTTCTAGCCATCCGCCATCTTGTTGAGCCCGCAATGAAATGCAATCTTAGAATGTGGTGTAACATTCCTCAAAGTATGTTCAATAATCTTCTCGTTACTTTCCACTATTGCCAGAGCTAGGAGAGGCACTCAGTGGGGTATTTAAAGATACCGTCTAGAATAGGAATATCAAGAAGGAATTCAGTCGTCTCCACTAGGTCTCGGTTACTAAGTTATAATTAGTCCAACGAGGAAGAGAAAGACAAGTTCCTTTACCGAAATCTTGGCCAGTAATCGATACGCCGTTTGGGATAAAGAAAAAAAGGGCTGAAAAACTATCGAACAGGGAAACAATAGGAAAAACGTTGAGAGAGAAATTCATGAAGGATTCGATTTTGACAGAAAAAATTTCATATTATCTCCTGATAGATTACTCACTAGGATGTATATAAGAGTTGATTATAAATTTTACACATAAGAAGAAAACTTAAAATTGCTTAAATTTACAAGCCCTTAAAATTTTATACAGACTCAAATGAGAAGTTTTTTTTTCTACAGCCACACAGAGAATGGCCTTTGGCACAAGTACAAGAAACATATTTTACATTATTTAAATATTGATTATGGCACTGTCAGTATAAATACATTATCCAGTGCCATGCTGATGCCCTAAAGGATTTGTGTTAATTCGAATTTCCTGTTAATGATTATGATCACTTCATTATGGTGCCTCATCATTTAGTACAAAAGTGTATTAACATTCTTGAAATGCACAATTGTAGTGCAGTACATTTAAAAATTTCTTGTTTAGAACAATTTGTATACATTGCAAATAAAACAGCACCTAAAATCTGAGCACAAATTTTAATGGTATTAGCAAAGAAAGCCAGCTACACCAAAAAAGAAGATTGATGGTAAACACCTGAGAACCTCTTGAAATAAATAGAACATTAAAGTCATGAGGAAGCATTATTTTTTTTGCTTTGATCACTGGCCTTAGTTGCAAACACCTTTAAATACTGTACTTTGATCCAACCACAAGTAAATTAGGAATGAATTGTACATAATGAGCCTTGGAAAGTAAAACTTAAGATTTAAACAAAACTGTAACCCTGTGTACTCCCAAAATACACACAAAAAAATCGGAATGGGGAACTTGATTTCAACACTATTTACAATACAATTTAGGCTCTTTTTTACATGAAATTCTTTCACAACTAAGGCCCTTTTCATGGACAGAATCTTGCATTAATTTTAATAATTGAATAATTCAGGAGCCTGCTTGGGAGACTGATGCCACAGCCCCATCCACAACTGCTGGGCCTGTGCTTGTGGATGTCCCTGAGCTACTTGTACCAGCCCCTCCAGAATTCCTCTGCACATGAGTGGGTATAAGGGTTGAATTTAGAGAGGGTTTTACTGATAGCTCTGCAAAAGAAAAAAAAAACAATCAAACTTGCAAAAATTTGGCAACCAAGGAAAAATTAGGCATTAGGATCTGCCAAAGCCATCAAAAATTGCATTGAGATCACCAGGTCCACACACAAAGCAAGCAGAACTATTGACTTGACAATGGCCAATAATTCTTAAAACTGAATGTGGCCCATTTCTGCATGCCTGTTCACTCACTTATGGTTAATACTTTATAATAAGAAGAAGAGTCTTACCTTGAGGTGTAAAGTTAAAAAGAGGGGGTAGATCTCGTCCATTTGGAAGTTTAGTGTTGGCATCGCGGAGTTCATCAAAGAAAACATGTGCACATGATTCCACAGGTATGAGTCTTGTTGATGGAGTATACTCAAGTAATCTACTACACAAGTTTATTGCTTCTGGTGGAGTTTTGGGTCTGAAAACCTTAAATTAAAAACACAGTTAACATTAAATTAATTTCTAACCCTAAATTTTAAAATAACAATTGAATAAAAATAATATTTTTCTAGATATATTTGCCTTATCTACTGCAAAACTGGCTCAGAGGTAAAACAATTTTACTCACAATCACATTCAATACATTGTTCATTCTGGCTGTAAAACTTAGGTCTTTTGTTTGTCTGTAGAATCTGTTTTCCTAAATTCATCCATTCATCAAGGTCCAGGCAAAACAAGAATGAAAAATGCCAAAGTTTCTTGACACTACTCTATTGAATTGAATCCACTTTTATGACCAATAAGCATTGAATTCACACCATTTGGCTTGGGTTTTGTGATGTTTGATGGGAGATGCAAAAACGCTTCTACCCTTAAACCATTTCAACATCAACAGACTATGTGCAGATGAAGCTTCATTGCATATCTAGGACAACTCATTCAGTAAGACAGAAACATACTTATATAACCTTACCTTGGTCCATGGATGTGGCTTGATCTGTGGAAATTTGAACTCAGTGTAGTGTGGATTCATTTCCTTGATTTGTTCCCTTGTTGGAGTACCCAAAACTTTAATTATCTCAACAAGCTGATCAACACCACTAGCCCCTGGAAAGATGGGCTGTCCAAGGAGAAGCTCTGCCAGCACACAGCCAGCAGACCACACATCTGAAGGCAAAAATATATATATATCTTTAGAGATAGAGAGATATATATATATCTTTAAATAAGGATCCTTTTAGCTGATAAATTTTGGTTAAAGACAGCTCATTACATTGGTTATTTATACTGTGAACAAATTTTGAAATACCTTCAATTGCACTTTATGTACCAACCTTTCAACACATTTTGTCACAGGGTTCATTGGCTGGTTAGTGTGCACCAATGAGAAATCTTTCAAACAGCAAAAGTAAGATTACTAAGAGGAAACTAAAATATGCAACAAGCAAGAGACAAGGAGCTATAAGCACTCCAATTGCTGGCTCCAAAAATGTCTAATTGGCCAGAACCAAATATAAACATTTATTCTGCCCTGACAGTTGTCCTTATATTGGATTCTGCCAAAAAAACCATCATTTTATTGCATTGATTTGCTATACTAAATGCAAGAAGATACACCATTTATCCATCCCTTCATCAAAATACAGGTACTCATGTCCCAATACCTGCTCAAGACGAAATTTCCAAAACTATCATTCAATGTCAGCCATTTCTTTGTAAAAGGGAATACTGTAAAGTAGGATAACTGATGGACCTGCTGATGAGCTGACTTACCAATATCAGGTGTGTAGTCTGTAGCTCCAAATATGAGTTCTGGTGCACGATAATATCTTGAACATATGTAAGAAACATTAGGCTCTCCTTTCACTAAAACCTTGGCACTAAGAAAAAGACCAAAATTAATTGGTTAGAAATTGACTTTTGTGATAAGAAAAATGCAAAAGAAAAGTGGAAAGTTGAATAAAGTGACTAAATGACTTCAGTTGAGTGGGCCACATTGAAGTTTTGCCGGTAATTCTGCAACAAGCTCATTAACAATTTTTTTAAAGCCTTTCATACAAGTACAAGTACAAGTCACTTCCCACCAAACACAGGAAATAGGAGATTTCATGCATCAGAGACACCCCTTTATTAGCTCTTACCTGCCAAAGTCACACAACTTCAACACAGCAGTTTCAGGGTCAAGAAGTAAATTCTGTGGTTTGATATCACGGTGGCAGATACCAACAGAGTGGATATAGGCCAGAGATCGAAACATCTGATACATGTAGAGCTACAAAAAAATATATAGTGTTAGAACAATTTTGAATTGTGCATATTGTCTCAAAAATTTGACCTTCACTGTAAAAAAAAGCTTTTCTTGTTTTTGGAGTTTTAGTGACATCAGCTGTGACACTTAGCTGCTGCTGATTTTTTCTTTTTTCTACAGACACAAATGATCATTAAAATAACGCAAACATCACAAAAACAACCATAATAACAAGGAAAACTAAGAGAACAGGAAGGAATTGAAGGAGAGGGATTTCTAGATGCTTAAATAACACAGGTCATTGCTAAGTTCACTGTTTTTGTTGCTGAGTTTAGGTTACCTTTATGTACAATATGGGGATTGTTTGCTTTGCTTTACTGTAATGTCTTGCGACTCTGTAAACTGTCTCCGGAACAAAATCAAGAACCAAATTTAAATAGATTTCTTCCTTCTGTTGGGGAAAAGAAAAGAAAAAATTAAACACCACTACATCTGATATGACTGTACTCTTTTCAAAGCAGATCAAAACACTTGCCTTTTACTAAGGACAATGGAGCATATTCATTGATGTTTAACCTTACTCAACACAACTTAGTAAATTCAAGCCATAAAAATTAATTGTTTATGGACCAAAATCTGTTGCCAAATCACTGCATCCAAATGTTCAAGTAATAAGGTGTTTCCAGGTGTAAAACTTTAAAATGTACCAGCTGCTATGAAGAACAATGGTTAACCACAGCAAATTGTTTTTCTAAAGATAACATATCATCAGAAAAGCTTCTCACAAAATCAAAAGATCTTCCTTTTTAATGACAATCGTTTCTTTGCTCCAGAGTTACCCAAAGTAGACAAGTGATGATGTGAACCTTTCAATCCAACAAATGCAAATTATAACATTATGAGGAAGCAGTATTGTGGTGAATTTTGAACAACCACAAAATATATCAGTTAATTTATACCAATTACCAGAAGAAATGTTCCACAAAACCTCATTGGTTTGATAAAATGCAAACAAAATTATCTATGAGAATATTAATTATGACTTAAAATCAAAAGTTGGTAAATTCCTTACATGGCCTACTGTGCATGAATTAGGAGCAAAATACTTTTAAGATACTGTTGCTCTTCTTTGGATGGGATTAGTTTTGGTACAATGTCACATCTTGAAAGAATTAAAACTTTGTGAATTGACCATCCTAAGCTCCAGAATGTTTGGCCAAAAAAGCTTTTGATAGCTGAGGTATAACCAGTTGAAAAGGGAAAGTTGCATGCTGTGGCATGCTCACTTTCATTTCTTGCACAACAGTCCAGATTTTCTGGAGGTTCAAACTATATCAAGGCTACAACTTGACCAAACTCAGCACGTGAATTAAAAAAAGGGAGTGTCTTTAAGTTCAGGGTACGACTTCATCTGTTCAGCGTGAAAAACAAAAGTATCATGTGACAAAAAATTACAAGAAAATGAAATTATTTTGTTTTCCTTGTACAAAACATCTTTTGAGTTGGTCCACAACAATTTTTTTAATAGCACCTGGGAAGACTAAATATTGTTTAGTGATGTAAGGACTGTCCAGGTTTGTGATTTCCCCATTACCAATGCAAGTGAAGTGTTTGTAAATGACTGGGTGAGTATTTTTCTACAAAGTTAAAAAAGAATAAGAATATGCTGTGTCCAAGAGCTGAAAAAGTATAGATGATGTTTTTCTTTTTCAGATCACTAATCTTTTTTAAGAGCTGAGGCAAAACAGAGTAAGCATGTCATCACATGAAATATAGTTATTTGCATCTGAATGATAAACTGTTTATATTTCAGTTTCATATAAAAACAAGTCTATTCTTGACCATGTATCTGTTACAATGTTTGCATATACAGGAAGTAAAGAACATTTTTTCTCTTTTTTTCCCTTGTGGATTGAACTGGGTTTTATTTCAAGGTTGATTAGGTCCACAAAATGATTCTGATGACCTTAACAAAGTTCAATTCAAATTGAAAATAAAACAGTATTTTTCAAATCAGAGAAAATTAATTTTGTTTCAAATACATTGTACCTTTCCCCTAAGATTCTCAAATAATTTTTGGCTGCCAAAATGAAATTATAACAAAATTATTTTCAAAGGACAAGGTAAAACACTGGAAAAATTATCGAATTTTCATTTAAATAAAAAATGCCACTTCAAATCTAAGACACAACTTCCTTGATATCCTTTTAGAGTAAATTGAAGTGTGATGTGAAAATTTGAAATCAACTAGAACGAAAACTACAAAGCACCGAGTGTAAGAACTCTTTCAGAGCCCTATAAATTAATATACAATCTGTTTTCCTCCTTCTTGTTGGGAAAAAAATATAGCTGAAAAGCCATCAGTGAATGTAATATAAACAGGCTGCCTGTAGCCGATATACAGCTGTGGCGACAATTTTTTTTTTCCTGCAATTGCCATCAAGATCCACATTCTCTAAACAATATTCTTGTTAGAGAAACGTTACTCGAATCTGAAAAGAAGCCACTGTGATACAAATGCTAATAGTTATTCGATAGAGTAAATGAAAAAATCTTCTACACGGACTTAGGACCCACAGTCAAATATGCTGTAAACTTGCTTCTTCGTGTCTTTGCGGTAAAATTCGTTTGGCTAAACTTGTTTTCACTTCGAGGGAGTGTACATTTCGAAAAGGATAAACCAAATGACGCTTGTTCAATCTTGCCTTTGTTTCTCGTCTTCGTGTCGCCGACACAATAATACTGACCAATGGATTAAATATAAACCATAGTGAATAGAATGCTAGTTTTAGTGAATTACGGCAATCAGTGCACATACACCCACGTACGCGGCTAAATTCAAGTCTTACATACTTAAGGCAAACAGCACGATATAACCGGCCACGACTCGGCTCGATTCACTCAAATATTGAAAGCAAGGATGTTGTGCGTACATAAAAAACGTTATGCCTTATTTAATACCACGAACAAGTTACCAACCTTTTCACCACTGGAATAAAAGAACCAGCGCAATCGGACGATATTACAGTGGTCTAATTTTCTCATGATTTGTAACTCTCGATTCTGAAAGGGAAAAAAATCTGTTACCACCACCGAGGCGAGTAAAATTTCGGCATCTTAGCAAGGAAATAAGCGACACGTATTTTCTGCTACATATTCTACTATAGGAGTAACATACAAGAACCATAACCACCTTAAATCGTTTGTCTTGCAATACTTTCTTTATTGCTACAAGTTCAGAGGAATCACACATCCTTGCTTGGTACACAACTCCGAAAGATCCATTCCCAATAACTTTCGTGTCAGTGTAACTGATCTCTTGAGTCCGATCAGGCAGTGAACCTGTAGTTGCTACAACTGTTGTCACTTTACTTCCATCTTTATCTCCTAAAATAAGAACAGAACAAGATACTATTGCAATACAACTTAATACATTTTCCAGGCTGGAATGCTAGCGGTTCTCGGTCCCAAACACCTTGAATATTAGGTTATGTAAAGTCTATATACTTACGACTAATTTTTACTCCTCCAAAATTTGGTGTATGTGATTTATTTGTTTCGGCAAAAGACGTTGTTCTAGGTCTGTGGCCACTCATAGTTATGAAATCTCCGACGTAGATGAACCCGAAGGATCACCGGACCATTACATATCCGTCGTCAGCTTATATTCAACATGGAGAGTTGCTTTCAAGCCACCTTACACCGAAAAGTGATTCGCGGGAATGGTGCTGAAACTGCACGCTTCTCTTGTCATTTATGGCCAAAAAACCTATAGTTAGTATCAGGAGTTCCTTAAGAGGATGCCAGAATAACGATCAAATGGTTCTTGGTACGTCCACAGTCGTTTTAGCGAAAAGAGCCAAAGGCAAGTGACACTCAAAATTCACAATGGCGCTTGCTACTGCAGGCATGTGCCGTTTAGGGGGCCCCCAACGAAGTTTGTTCAATTAGTTAGCCAATGGCAACGATGACGACATAATCCGAAGTTATCGCGATTTTTTCCGACTTCCGAGCGGAATGACTGCATCTGCAAAGAAATTACTAAATGATGCGACAATTTATTGGTATGTTTGTATCCTCATGGAAGTACTTATTAAAATATATATTGTGTATTCTGTGACCATTTTAAATCATTTTTGGGAGTTCAAAGGGAGTCAAAGCTGATAACGCTCGAGCAAGCGGAGGTGAACGAAAAACCGCCAAAACACTAGTCAGCGGATTTCTTCTAAATCGCGGGAAATCAAAATGGCGGATGAGTACGTTTCCGTAAATTTTGAGTTCAATGTAGTGTATTGACCAAAATTGTTTACTAGTGCTTTGTTTTTTTTCACCAGAAGAGGAGATGAAGATCCTGAAAATACGATGTATATCCTCATTGGTATGTTGTACAATCAATTTTTACCGATAGGTTCGAAAGGATCGTTTGTCAAATTTTTAGATTATTTTTCTGAGCTCCATATATCTTAGCTCATATTACCGGTTGTCTGTGGTGTCATATTTTTCCATATATTTTAAGCGTCAGATTGCCATCTCGGGTACATGGAAAAAGACCAGGTCCGAGGAAATGACTCGCTGGTTACATTCGAGGAAATACTTCAGATAGCAAAGGAGAAGAATGTAAGCAAAGGCTGTGCTACAATATATCGCTGACAAGCAAGATTTTAAAGTCTAACAATAATTACTACCATTTGATTTTTAAGCTGAATTTTCACTGTTTGGTGTTACTTTTATCATCAAGAGAAGATTTAATACTGGTCAAGGCACTCACTGTCATTTAATTCCTAATTTGTACTTTTCTTTGTGCCATGAAGGTAGATTTTATTCTCCTTGGAGGAGATCTATTTCATGAGAATAAACCTTCCCGGAAGACTCTACATGGTGCAATGGCGCTCTTTAGGAAGTATTGCATGGGGGATAAAGCTTGTCAGATGGAATTTCTCAGTGATCAATCCGTGAACTTTTCTCAGTCCAGGTTAGATACAGAAACTGTTTAAAATTACATATTTGATGGCATTTAGAGAAGCTCCCTCTGTGGTATGGGAAATGTTACATAAAACTTTTCCTGATAGGTGTAATGATGAGTTTAGGTGGGAAAAGCTAAGTGATAACCCAGAATGTGCATATTATGTTTAGATCATTTTAGTAACATTCTCATTCAGTTTAGTTCATGTGCACAAGGGTATGTCCACCGCCTATATAATTATATATATATATAGCCCAGTAATTTATGCCTGCACAGGGGTAAACTCTAGATTGATAAATTAATTTAGTCTAGAGTACCTAGTGACTTGGGATGAAATTTGCAGTAGTACTCTTTTGATGATCAAATTGCTTCAAAAAATATGAATATGTTAAGTTCTGACTCAAACCAACTACAACAATATAAGTTCCATCTTCTACGTGAGTCATATAGAAAAACTTATATTATTTTCTTGTGGTTGTGATCCAAGACATTTTACCCTTATTCCAAGAAATGTGCCCAAAATCTATTTTCAGATTTCCCTGGGTAAATTATGAGGATCCAAATTACAACATATCCATTCCAGTGTTTTCCATTCATGGAAACCATGATGATCCTGCTGGGGTAAGTAAGCTATATACTGACGGGAGACACAGCTAAAGTCTATCAATTGTGCTAAGGATTAAGTACTCTGTAGCAAAAGGTCAACAATTAGAAGTAACTTATAATTAATTAATGAACCCTGTTTAAATAGAGGAGAGGTTTTATCATAGGTTAGCTGGAGAATATCCGAATTATGAGCAGAGAATTGTCCCATCTCGAGAGCTTGATAAACACCCTGGGACTGGTATCTCTAGGATTCAGGAGGAGTGGCATCATCTTTGGCTACTTCATACAACAGATTATGCAATAAAAATGCATAATAATATTTTGCACCTCGTGAAAAGTCCTACACCTCCACTACACCCCAACATCAGAAAGCATATTATTTGCACTCTATACATTTCCAACAATGCGCACCACAGTAATTTTTCTGACAAAAAAGAGCTTACCGGTAATCTTAAGTTAGCGACCATTTCTTCTATGCTCATGATCATCCTGTTGGATTCAGCAAGGATACTGTAAGGAGAAATTAGATGCTAGTAACACCAAGATGTTCATGGGTTAAACAGACTCAGCATGAAAAGGAAGGCTACTGCTTTTCCTCTTTGTGCAAGTCACTTTGTGCTAGTTAATTGGTAATTATTTATTTATGTATTTATTGAAATGTATTTTTTCATTACTTCCTTGGGTAGGATGGGAACCTTTGTGCTTTGGATTTGCTCAGTGTCTGTGGATTTGTTAATTACTTTGGTAGAGCTCCATCAATTGATGACATCACTGTGTCACCTATCTTGATGCAGAAGGGTAGTGTTAAGATTGCACTTTATGGCTTGGGATCCATCAGAGATGAACGTCTACATCGCACTTTTCTTAATCACAAGGTCAAGATGCTGAGACCTAAGCAGGATCCTGAATCATGGTTCAATCTATTTGTTTTACATCAGAATAGGTATAATGGTAGTGAGTGTAAACTTACCTGTGAGGGGCTGGTCCCTAATCCATTGTGCAACTGATTGTGACATGCACTATAATTAAACTAAACGAACTCATGAAAAATATTTTAAATCTCTTCATTGTCTCCAGGGCAAAGCATGGCTCAACCAATTACATTCCAGAGAAGTTCCTTGCTGATTTTCTTGATCTTATAATGTGGGGCCATGAACATGAGTGTATTATAGCACCAAAGAATGCAGAGGACCCAAACCTTTCATTCTACATTACTCAGCCTGGGTCAAGTGTTGCAACCTCTCTCAGTGAAGGAGAATCAAGACCTAAGTGGGTGTGGTTGCTTGCCTTTTTATTGATGATTCACATAATTTTTGCTGTCATTATGTCATTGTTCACGTTCTCTGTGAGGATCTTCTTCACCCTTGTCCTACTTCTCCTCCACCTCTTCTCCTTTCATTGTCATTATTGTCATGCTGGTTGTTGTTGTCATCATCATTCTTCTGGTTATCATCTTCATTGTCAGTATGATCAATGTCATTTTTATTATTTTTGTCATTATCGACATTATCAGTGTCATCATCATTATATTCATTACATTTCATTTTATGAATTATGATTTCTAGATATTCATATATATTCATTGCCCCAGTTATTTCTTTGTCATTCTTTTATTTTGTAGGCATGTTGGAATCCTTAAAATAACAAAGGACAAAATGTTCAAAATAGACAAGATTATACTGAAGACTGTGCGCCCTTTTTACATTGAAGATGTGATTTTGAAGGAAACAGAAATTGATCCCACCCAAGAAGACATGGTCATGGCTTACCTAGTTAATAAAGTGGGTTCCATTAAAATTATTTTAAAAAATCAATATTATGGATGTGAGGACTTGCATTCTTTTATTTTCTTCTATGACACTCAAATCAAATGAATTTTTCATTTTTATGATGGTCAAGGTGGAACAGTTGATTGAAAAGGCAAGGAGGGAACACACAGGTAGTTCTCGTCAACCTGACAAACCTCTTATTAGGTTACGGGTAGGTTTTGCCTTTATGTGGGTGAAGTTTTCAACTGACAAAACACATTTTTTGATCCTTTTTTAAAATTTTCTTGTTCAAGCTTGTTGGAAAATTTTTTCTGGTTGTTGATAGGTTGATTACAGTGATGGGTTTACAGCTTTTAACATTCGAAGATTTGGACAACAATTTGTTGAAAGAGTGGCAAACCCAAAGGACATTCTACTGTTCTTCAGGAAAAAAGAACCATTTAAAACTTCAACTTCAGGTACATAGTACAGAGACATGGTCTTTTGTGACATCGCTGCAGAGTGTAACCTGCATACAGCTAATATTCATCATGTTATTAAAAGATGAGTGGGTTTAAATGTTTTAAGGAGTGAAAAAATGTTAAAGTGTTGGCTAGAGTCAGTGAATTTTCATTGTTCTCTTTGTTAGAATTTATTTTTTTCTTGAACAGAGTAAAGGAATTATTGCTCTTGTTTTTGTCATAGACAAGATAGAGAGAGAGAAAGTTAGAGTTCCGCACCTGCGTCCAGAACCACTAGACTCAATAAGGATGGAAGACTTGATCAAGGATTATTTAACATCAAAGGATAATGTATGTACTTCTCTTTTAAGAGTTGGACAGATTATATTTTAATCATAAAATTTAAAATTTCCTCAATTTTGATTGGTTTGAAAAACTCTTTTTTTTTTCCACTAAGGCATTGGCCAAGGTGTTATCAAAGTGTTTCTTATCGGACAGTTCAATAATCACATTTTAAGTTGTAGTTTAAATCAATCACAACAATTTCAGAGAAACATCAAACAAATTATGCCTCCTTTGTCAGTCTTTAATTGCAAATTTTCCCTTTCTTTCATAACTTGGCTATTCTTCTTTTCTCAGAAATTATAATTTTTATGATTGATTGACTGGATTGGGTAAGACTTTGTGTCATCCAATCCAGTCTGTTATCACACTGGTGATAAACAACTTGGACTCCTGCTGCATGGTCGTCTGATTTTGTTATCACTCCTATAACTAGAGACTGAATTTTACTCTACTCAGTCTGCTTACCAATACTAGTTATAATCCATGATTTAAAAATGCTAGACATGAATAAAATTTCTTAGGTCATAAACTTAAATTTCAGGCATTAGAGTTACGTATTCTAACTGAGGGAAGAATGGCACAGGCACTTCGTGAATTTGTTGAAAAAGATGAAAAAGATGCAATATCTACTTTAGTTAAGTGGCAACTGGATCAAGCACAGAGCCACTTGAAGAAAAAACAGAATATCCCTGAAGAAAGCATTGAGGTTGAAGTTTTCAAACACACAGAGGAAATACGACAAAAAGAGGATGAAGATAAAGAGCATGATGCAGAAAATATCAGAAAGGTACTTGTCCATTTTTCATCTATGAGCTTTTAACACTTTACACCTGAACATCAGTATGCATATTCTCCATACTGTTTTCTATACATTTCCCAATGTGCTGGCAAGGAGAATTTGTTTAACAATCAAGAGGTTCTTCAGTTGATGATCATTTCCTTTATTCTCATGATCTTAATGTTTGATTCAGGGGTGATAATTAGATGCTAGTCACTCTCAGGGACTGAAGGGTCAATGCTCTTCCTAGATGTATGGTTTTCCAACTTCTATCATAATCAGTGACAAGTGTTATTTCTAAAAATAATAATTAGGTGCTTGAAGAATCTCGCGCCAGTGAAATAAACACTGAAAATGATGTTGACTTGAGTGGAAGTGATGATGAGGACAGAAAATCCACCCCAAGCACCAGTGGAGGTACAAAATTTCCAACAACTTGTTTTTAATAATGGCTTCAGATTCATAATAAACAATATGCAAATGTGTCTATTCAAACAAAAAAGGAACATTTGTATGAGAAAGGTCTTCCAACAGGATATACTTCTAAAACAGTCAGGAAGCTTAGAGCAAGGTACAATGATCTTCTTTTAAAAGTCACAGGCAGCTTCCTTCTTCTTTATCAAGCAGGGAAAAAAGGCCACAGTGATGATGTTAACACTTCCACAAGAGGCATGGCTGGAGGGCGTGGCAGGGGAAGAGGAAGAGGAAGGGGTAGAGGTGGGCGTGGAAGAGGAAGGGGTGCAACACAAGCAGCTGTCAGCACTTCTCAAACAATAATGGATTGTAAGTATGCTGGGTGGCAAGGGTCCAATATGTTGCTGGGAAGCTTTCATTGAAAGAATTATTAAATTTGAAGTTACATTATAGTGAATTTGTGCCTGTTTTTACAAGGAAACCTTCATTTTCTAGCATTTACTTCAGCATCCAAGAGAAAGAAACAACAAAGCAATGTCAAGGTATGTTAAGCTTTTTCTTGTTTGCAATCACTTGCAAATTTCTCTCACATATAATCTGATCTTCTTCATTTATTTGAAGTCGACCTATGACATTTTAAATAATAAGTAGCTTTTTCCTTGTACAAATTTTGCAAGTGAGCTTGGTCTCTTATCTAATAGGGAGTAAGTTCCAAAGATGATGATGATGACGACGATGATGAATTCAACACTCCACTATCATCTTCTTTGAAGAAGACAAAAACTGCACAGTAAGTGCACTTTACTTTCAAATATTTTGTATCATCAAGAGTCATTTTCCTTGTTGACAGAATAAAGAAATCATGTCACTGTAGTTTGTGAAATTTTATTTTTCTGGTAAATTATTAAATGTTAGATTGCCAGATTAAAAAAATATACCAAAGAGGTTACAATAAGAAGATGCGAAATCAAAATGGCTTTTAATGGAGATGGTTTAGAATTAATATTGCAGGTGATGAACTTTAAATATAAAAGATAAATTTTTAAAGACATGCAACCTGTAAAGAATCAGTAGCTTCTTTTTCTATTAACTAACCTTATGGAAACAATCAAAGGGTAGAAATTGTAATCTCTCCCTGCCACTCACTCTTTAACTAATGAGAATACTGTTACATCCATCAAAGCACATTTACCACACATTTATGCTGATTTGCTTTTGATTAGATCAACATCACAAAGATCCAGTGGAGCTAAAAACAGAACAGCCGTGATCAGTGCTGTTGAAAATGAAGTATGGCCCAAACTTATGTTTGTCTGCAGGGTACTATAAAATGGTTGTGTCAATAAGACAACAAGAAATAACTATTGGCTCTAATGTTATTTTTGTCAAGCCAATTTGTGACCTTAGAAAATTATAACATTCCTCATCTCTTTAGCTTGTGCAAAGACTCTCACTGCTATAGCAGCTACAAGCTTATTCAGCTTATTATTAAGCTTATTCAGTGTGTTAAACTACAAATCAACAGATCTCAACTTTTTAGTATAAAAGCATGTACTTTAATATTGCTTACAAAAATATTTGATTGATGAGTTAAAAGTTTTTCACTGTAAAAATTCAGAAACCAAAAAGCCCAGTAAAGTTGATATTTTTAGAAGACAATGCAGTATATGCTTCAGTCCTTAACACTTCTACAAGGTTAGATGAACTAATTATGATCATTGTTAAATTTCTAGGAGGAAAGTGAGGATTCAGATGATCCTTTTTCTATGGAGCCAAGCAGTAAAAGAAGCAGAAGATAGCAAAAGATGAGGCTCATGGAATTTTTTTACAAAATCCTATGGTTAAGTAAGTTGTTTTAGGGCAAGAGCATTTGAATGATGCCAAACAAGCTGCCAAGAGATTGGTCTTTAATTGCATACACAGATGTGGTTGTGTTTTTAGCCACAGGGAAATGTTTGATGTTCATGTAGCTGCTGCTGGAGAAGGGAAAGCAAAGCTTTACCACAGTAATTCAAGTATTTTGCAAGAACTTGAGCAAACTGCCAGTAAGCAGAATGTTTGTTACTCAGGTGGCTGGTGGCATTTTTGTGCTCAAGGATTCTTATTTGCCTTGAGTTCAATGTTAGTAGCCTCAGATAATTGGTGGATATCTAGATATCATTCAAGTGACAATTTTGGCTCTTAAAAAAGAATGTAAGGAATATTTATTAGATGGGAGAAATTAGCAGATGCAAAATAACACAAGGATATTTTAATTACAAATGATCAGAACTCATGATCAAGGATTCATCAGAGACCAGTTGTTCAAAAGGCAGTTTGAACTAATTCAGAATTCTATGTAATCCTTGGTCTGATTTTCCTTGGTTAAGAGTGTATCTTAGGACTAGCAGTCAATGGGGTTTTCTATCCTTTATTTAACAAATAGATTCCAAGTTGTCAAAATATGGTAAGAACACCCTGGGTTAGCTTGGTTGTCCTTTCAACCACCCAGCCTTGAAACTTAGGGTATTGCACAGATGGCAAACAAGGTGGATTGGTTAAAAGTTTGTGAGTGTGACATTTTAATGGGTTTTACATTATCTAGAGGAACTTAACCTTCTGCAGTTTGTTGTTTTCTTGTGTCTGGTATATGTGTCTGAACTCACAATTTTGTTTCAATCATTCACCAAATAGTTTTGGCAAGTTGGATTTTATATATTATAAAAAGGAAGAAGGAAATATAAACCTTGTTGATGTTTGAAGCATGAGAATTTTGTATTTTAAATCTTTGGTTACAAAATTTGTAAAAGAAAGACCACACAATAAAATGAAAGAATAAACAAGTTGCAAAAGAAGTTTCTGTTCAAGTCTTTCATGGGAGTGACAGTAGTTTTATTATTCAGTCATCTTTTTAAACTGGTTTCATAATGATTACAAAGTTATCATTGTTGTTATTGTTGTTTTTTTTTAAGGTATGCCTTTATTTGTTGCTTAGTGACACCAAAGCTTAAAGAATGATTGAATCAAAACATACACTGATCAAAAAGCATTTTGCAATGCAATTTAATTTATGTTAGTTGTTTTCTGTGATGCTAAGATATTATTTTTGAGGTCAAATATAAATGCAGGGGGCTATTTTACTAATTAAGTAATAAAAGTACAATACAGATGTTAAAAAAATTATAGGTAATATTTTTTCCATTGCTAACACATAAATCTCAGAGTTATTCTAAACATTTGTATGATGAAACTCCACAAATTTCCACTGCAAACACAATCCACATTACTGTTAGGAACTTCCACCTTCATAATTTCTCTCCCAGGGGTGATGAAGAAGTAATTTCTCCCTACAGTATCAATACACTATTAAGCAGAGAGCTGGGGAGAATAAAGAGGAATTTTAACTGATTTGCATTAACACCAAATTCTCAAAACTGTAATAAAAATTGTCTAGGAGACAGTGATTAAAAGGAGAATTTCCTCTAAGATCTTAGCGTTGAAATGGTTATTCATATTGGCACTTGAGGCCTTTGTCTTTTGCAGCTCATTTACAAATTGATGAAGAAAATAAGCATTATATAGAGGCTAAAAAAAGTGTTGTTTATAACTTGTTAATTAAGAAAGCAATTCATCTTTATTTCCCTAGCAGAATGGTGATTTTATAATTCTGAAAAGCATTTTGCTGTGTGAGGTCACTTCTCTCATTTGACCACAATAACCTTTGTTTTTTTTAAAAAAGTTACTCATGATCAGGCTCGTTTGAGCTGTTCTCATATGAGCTGTGTTTGTGATGTTTCTTGTGCCTCCCAGGATGCTGTGGTTTATGAAGTGGAAGGATTTTCTTTTTGTGGACCTGAATTCTTTCTTTGTGATCATGTTTCATCTTCTCTCTTGTCAGTTGTTCCTCAGCTTCTTGTCCATTGACAATGTACTTGTGCTTCTCTGTGTTTCCATTACCAACCTCAGAGCGTGGCTGATTTGATTCTTTCTCTGAGCAGAATAAGATGCATAGTCAATTAAATATTAATACTTTTATTATGTGATAATAAAATACTGCTACTCCATTAAAACTCTTCCTTAGGCTAAGAGCAAACAATCACAAGTCGAACTGGAATCTTATTAAACCTTTGGCTCCTAGGAGTAACTAACACCTAATTTCGCCTTACAGGATTATCCCCAAATCTCACATAAAGGTCATGAGAATAAAGGAAATGATCATTAACTAGGGAAGCTCATGATTATTTAACAAACTCTCCTTGTCAGCACCTTAGGAATTGTATGGTGAACAGTATGGAGAATGAGCATACTGGTGTTAAGGGTTAAGCTCCTAAACTCTTCTGCAAACCATTTTGACAGTTTTTGGAAAGAAATGCCTTTCAGAATCTTAATTTCCTTTGGAAAGATAAGGAGGTGATGTGCCTCAAAAGAAAAAAGAAGATTTAGAGTCTTGAAAACCTCCCAACTAACAACCACCTTTTTAAGTACCAAGACCAGCTTCAACATTATTACATAGATAACATCTTGTCACAAATTATACAGATTGTGCAAGTTGACTTTTAGCATCAGGCAGTCATTTGCTTACCATCACACTTTAATGCAGTACAGACCCAGTGGCCACAGGCACAAACACTAAAATGCAAAGAAAGAACATAAGTTGGATATATTCTGGTAATGTCTACAGGTGTAGCTTTACAATCATTGTCCCCCTTCCCACTTTTTTTCCATCTGAGAGAGAAAAAAGAAAATAATAACAAATGCCTTGTTAAAGGAGAATGAATGTAACTGACTGAACACTTCTTACCAACTGTTGCAGTCTATGGGAATTTCTGTGCTGTCACTGTAAATCTCACTATCCAACTCACAACCTGCACCACAATAGGACAATTCATCATTTAGCTTTTTTTTTTCCAGATTATGAGTGGGTGACCAAAGTCAATGAAGGAGAAATAAGAGAAGGCTGAAAAACAGGTTCCTGTATCCACCCACTTGTTCACATTTTTCTGCACTTCCACTGACCACAACTTACATTCAGATTTAGTGGAACTTATTTTACCTCAAACCAATATACAATTATGGTATTTCTTGGTCATGAGGCAAGCTCTCCAAGTTAAAGTTAGCAAAACTTTATGAAAAAAAGTTTACCTTTCTTTGGTGGCTTGAATTCTGTTGAAGAAAATTAATACAAAAAGTTGAGATGTTTATTGTTAGTGAACCATTTTCAATCTATTAATTTCTCTCTTGATTACTTCGCAAATCTACCGCTGTAGGAAATAGTCTTGTTATCAGTATCACTTCAATCCCAGCATTCTTAGCATTTCAGTGGAACATGCTTAATGCTGTACAAGTCAAAAGCTGATGATCATTGCCAAATTTTGTGTGGTGGACACACGGTGTAAACATAACAGAATTACACAGCATTCCCTCTGAAACATAATTATATATTAATATTTTCCAACTCACCAGGATCAAGGCATCTCATAAACTCTGTAATGTTAAGTTCCCAGTCAGAATCATCATCACTGATGGAAATCAGAGCATCAGCACAAAGACTTTGCAAAACAGGGTTGACATACTCATCAGAACTAGCTGTCTGAAGTAAAACACAATCACAGGTGCATTACTCTCAGATGAGTTACCTTGCAAAAGTATCAAAAGGGACTGACTCAACTCTGGTGATGACTTCTGTTTACTAACAGCATTCCTTAACAGGACAACCATCACCCATACATTCCCACTACATGATAAACTGTTGTTATATAAGTGACCACAAAGAGAAGTGTCATACCTCAGCTTGTGATTGATTTGCCAGGACGAAGTCTCTGAACTCTGCTACATCAAGTTTTCCATCTTTGTTTTCATCAACTTTGTCAAAGTATGATTGCAGAAGATTTCTGTAGCCATCTAATCCTTCTGACAACTTGTCTTGGTTCTGCAGCCATCCAATCAAATGACTGCGTATATCATTACGATCATTCTCATAGCACACAACTAAATAGTGAAAGAGTATACTTTAGCAACTCTTTGCTCAAATAAAAATCAAACTGGTTTGGAGAGAAGAAAAAGTGGCAACCTCTGATAACTGTGAATACTAAGAAAGTTTTGGAATGTACACAATTGACATGTCAGAATCAAATCAAAATCAAGCTCACAGTTTACTGAGTTTCACAGTTAACCAGGAGAAAATTTTAACCATGAAAAGGATGTAGAACTACACAGGCCTTAAATGTTAGGGTACAAACTGAACAACCTACCAGGTTTTGAATAATTAACCTCTACAGAAGATGGAGCTTGGGTGGGCTGTCCTCTACATGCCCCCATATACTTGATAGAAAGTTTCTTTTCCTCCAAGCAGGCAGTTTTGTGCAGTTCACAGTGGTTTGGATAGGTCATACCGTTTGACCCACATACTGGTTTCTCATGGTTAGGGCATGACTTCTTACACATACAGGCGGCATTATTATCGATAACAATGCACTCCTCACCAGCATGGCATAGTACATTGATACATAGATCTAAAACACAAAAGTTTGAACATACTGCTCTTTAATTATGTTCAAGATTTCAGTTGTTGCTTGAGAGCTCACTGCCAGTCTAATAAAAGATGCACCCTTAATTTGAGGAATTGTGCTCAGAAAACAGTGAGCAAGAAATGGATGAAATTTGTTTTAATATACGGATGTTCAGGGTAATCCATTTATAAAGCTTGATTGTTGCACCAAGGCCAGTTGGTTTCTAGTCACCCCTGACTCCACCCTCCGTGAGCATTTGGTGGGGAGGGGCTCAGAAAAAATTGCAGGAGACAGGTTTTCATGGGGGTGATGTTTACATTCCAACGAACGGGAGGGGGGGGTGGGAAATACAGTTATCCAACTCTGCTCAATGGAACTTTTGAAGTTGGTCCTGTGCTCAACTGCTAAAGAATATGTTGTCCCCTCGATCCCTTCCTACAACCTACTGTTTTCTAGGTAAGACAGTAATATATGCAACATGTGTACCTTCGTTGTCTCTATCAAACGCTTCTTTGCCTTCAGAAAGGTTCTAAGAGGACATAAGAAAAAGGGGGAAAATGAGTGCGACTATTGCTATTAAAATTGGAAACAGATGATTTTCAGTAAATTAGGACGATTCACTATTATCACAACTCCTAAAGTGAACTAAACCTCTCACAACGTCGACCTTCCTTTAGTGACAGATATACTTGCATAGGTTCAAATGCAAGCTGTAAACACAGATTAATGATTTTGGAATGTGATTAGCATCTGGGGGTCATGAAAAATGTTTTTCATTTGCCTGTTTCGAAATTTCCATATGTATCTGGCAGATAACAATACTGATCTACGACAACAGAGATACTTTGTGACAACTGTAACATGAATTGTTTATTTTTAACGCATTTTCTGTTCATTTTGTCATCGTCTGAACTTCCCCTCTTCAGTGGTGAAAAAAATTATTGAACGTGAGAAGTAAATCGCTAAATCGGAAGGAAGACACCGTTTTGATGCGAAAGGATCCCATCTTTCGTTCAGCCATACTCACCAATTCCTCTGAGAGTGCAACATAAACCAAATTCCACAACACAAAACTGCAAACATGAAACGATCGCATCTCTCTATCGATCCGCACGGTAACTGACGAGTTCACCAATGAGTACTACAGTAAAAGCTGTCTTCAGACGATGTGCTAGACAATTCCTAACTCGCCAGAATCCACCCAAGAACAAAGAAATGGTGGTTTTAGTGAATGAAAAGCACAGCAGTGGAACAGACCCCGAGCTAAGGCTTAGACTAGTGAGAAAATTTCAATTTCCTGACAAGGTCGACAAGGGGTACATTGATCGAGTCTCGCATTCCTCGACATCAATTAGATGTAACCGAAGCCCTCAATTTCCGGTCAGTTGGTTAATTGATAAATTTGTAGTGAGTACATGGAGTTTTTTGCGCATATGATACATCCATGAGCTCTGACGTAAAATATTTTTGCAATCTTTTGCAAGTTTGGAGAAAAAGAGAGATCGGGCAAAACTTGGGGTTTAAAGCTTATTTACCACTGTCGGGTAGACACTGATGTTCTCTTGGTCTTGGCTGCAGCTCAGAGTGCCTACCCCACCCATCTATTCTTGTTCCCAGAGCCCTCGTTCCTTCGAAAACGAGTGGCCCTAAGGCCAATAAGGTTCTTAATCAATATATGACGGGACATTAACATCAGACTAACCTAATAATATTAATGGAAGTTCACATGAAAATTGAAGTTCACATCTTAGTCGAGTCGTAACCTCCCTCCTACTCTACTCGTTTAAGGAGAATGCGAAATTATCAACCAGAAGATAAAAAGGATAGATTCCCTAACAGGAAGACATCTTAGTCCGTGGTAAAGCTGCTCCATCAATCATACAGAGCTGAAACGTGAAAAGATGAACCAGATAGGTTCGCACTACGTTCACGATTTTTTCTCAAAACTCGGAAAAAGTGTAATAAGGTTTACTTGTAAACTTAGCCACGACATGTAAAACGAGCCGAAGCAATGCAAATATAAATTTCAAAAAATGCAAGAACGAGAAGAGTAAAGCTTTGTTCTTTCTCCGCGATGTGCACTTTGTGAGGCATGTTTGTCTAAATGTAAGATCAATAATAGCAATTTCTGGAAACAAAGGAGAGAGCAAACGTAATTCACTATCTCGCATGTGAACTTTAATGTAGTTACTTTCCATATGTATATATTATTTTCAAATACTAATAAATAAGTAAATTATTGACGCATCCAGGCACCCTAAACACGTTGAAATTATACATCGAATGCTGTTTTCTTAAATCGTAGGTCATTCTTTTCTTAAATCAAACATTCCACGTTATGATACATATCATACAAAGCTTAGTTCTGAATGTTTCCTCAAGAAAATATTGATAAAGTTTAATGATAAGATCGCGTCTGGTAAAGGAATGACCACAGACTGTGTTGAAAGTAACGAGGCCACCGGCCCCTCGACGGAATTTTTCGATTATCACTTTTGAAAAGTTAGCCTAAGTATGGAAAAGTGGAAAAAAATAATTCCGAAGAAGAAATCCAGAAACCGTATTTAATTTTTCTTAACGAAATGCAACGGTAATTTTCAACAAAGAAAAACTTACAGTGGGTACGAAGAAGAAACAGAGTAGCGTGCAGACAGGCTTTTATCAGCGCTGAAGCACGATTGTCTCTGTGACCTCAAGAAAGTTTGTGGCCTTGGACAAAGCGAAACTGCGAGGGGTCTGGCACTAACAGTGGGGCTTCATCCCTCGCAGATCTCTCGCCGAATCGCTTTGCCCCAAGCTTTTGACTTTCTCACGCGCCAAGGAAAAGTTTGTGCCGCAACGTTAGTGATGACAGCTGCCTGCTGAATAAACACTGGGTCTCCTGAATGTAACCCCCTTACATTATACGCGCTGGTCGATGTCTCCAACCTCCATCAACTACAATCAACAGGGAAGCAATGGATCTTTCTTTTCATTCACAAGATTCGTGTCAATACTTAAAAGCACCATACTTGCCGGCTTTCTTAATAAATTCTTTGACAGTTCCCTCATCAAGATGATTAAAGGCTTTAGTCTGGGTGACAGCTGTCAAGTGATTGATACAAAACTTGAAGCAAAATTCCTCAAGATCCTAAAAACAAAAAACAAAAATATTACATTTGGTTAATTTGTGATTATGGTTTGTTGGTTATCACGGTAAAAGAAGCATTCTTCGCCACAATGTTAATTTTTCTCCATTCTGAATCATCACGGAAAGACCAAAGAAAATTTCTCCTAGAATATCGATACGTTTTTAAGCAGAAGGGTGATGAGATGAGAGAATTACATCAATGAGAGGATGTATTTTGATCTAATACAAAAATCCTAGAGCCAGAATTATAAAAACGCATTGGGAGTAGTGCGGAGAATTGACACCAGATCCTCACGCAGCGCAAGAACGTATGACCAGACCAGACCACGGCTACGCAGGAGAAATAACCAACTGCTTATCAGAAAATCTCGTAACAGAGGCTATGCTCGACCCAATTCCTTATGGGCGGAAAAGGAGGAGGATGTCCTCGTTTCACGTCTGAAAGGAATTATCGGAGCGTGACCACTGAATACTAGACTGATTATCCAATCAAATTCTTACCGAGGCCTCGTATTTGATGGCTGCTGCAAGTAACATGGCAGCATTTTCAACGGTAATTCCTTGTTTGATAATCCGTTCGCACTGATGTTTTAACTGTGTCTCGCAATATGAATTCGCCAAGTCCAAGAGACCTGAAAAAATAAGTTAACAAAGAAGCATGGGAGGGTAAACGCTGGTCCAAGAACACACATTCGAGCCATCTTTAATTAGGGGCCAACAGCAATCCGGGATTGTATTGGTTTTGCCTTACTTCACTCTATGATTGGTCAAAAAACTCACGCCAATCTCTCAACCAATCAGATTCAAAACTAAAACCAATCACGACTTAGTCACCCGCGTTTTCCCGCGCTTTAGCCAGTTCGATTGAATTTATTTTGAGTCCTCGTTGGTTCCTGGAGGTATTTTCCTTTTCTTCTGATTGGCCGTTGGACAAATTTGGTTTTGGATTTACGACACTAAATCGAAATGCACTCTAATAGGTTTGCAAGAACATTTCTATCGGGTTTCAAAAGTATTACGGTGGAGCATTGGTTTTCAAGGCTCCACTTCATTATGTAGAAAGTCTGGAAAACTCGCAGCACCCTGCCAGCCAATCAGATGCAAAATTAAAACAATCACCGCTCAATCCTACGCTTCTGATTTTTCTTTGGCTCCTTTGTGATGTTTCCTCTTCGTTCCAGTTGTCCATTGTGATTTATTCGGATTTGGTTCTTCAACAAAACCGAAAAACGCTCATAGCTGCTTGAACCTTAGTTTGACACTCTTTAGATATCGAAAATCTGACATCTGACTCACCGATGGCATCTTCAGGCAGCAGATGAACCTGATCAGTGTAGAGATACTCCAAGAAAGCGTAATACACAGGATAGCTGAATTGTGTGATTTCTATCACGCTACAAACACAACAAAAACACTTCTGAGCCACATAAATCGCTTTTCTATGGCCAATCAGCAAATTTGCTTCATTTAAAAACATTTCAACCGCATTTAGGAAAAATAAAACTGCTTTTAACCTTTTTTCATCTTCATCCCAGTGCGCCTGGAACATGCTCCGAAAGTGTTCACACCTGTTAGGAAAAAGGTTTGTTTTGATTTAACAAAGGAACTCAGTTTTAGCTTTGATTTTCTTAATATGTACCTCTGTTTTGACTTCATTATTTATGAAATTCTAAAAATAAGTGATAAATAAATGTGTACGACTTTTCAATCTACGTTTTTGGTCAGTTTTGCTCACCAAATGATGTTATTTTGAGAAGTCATGACAAGACCAACACCCTTGATAATCATTTCATGTAGGGGTAACTTCTCTCTCTCGCGCGCGCGCGCGCGCGCACTCGTTTGACTTCTTGCCTGTGTATGCCGGTCTACATCACTCGATGCTCCTCGAAGCTCGCACATAGTTAACCAATGCAAAGAAATGAAGATAACGTTACCTTATTTTGAGCAAGGACTTGTGCACATAAACCGGTTTGCCGTCAATCATAAACGTTAGGTCGCTTGTTTCCTGTTACAAATAGACGACACAGTAAAACTGACATGTCTGATGATTAATTAAACGACTATTTTATTTATTTATTTACTTATTTACTTATGTGTTTATTTATTTATTTATTTATCATATTACGAGCATTCCCTCTCTACAAGGCTTATATGCTCGGATTCAGTCAGGTTCGTAGGTTCGATTTAAAGAGTTTTAAACGTAATAGTTCCAAAACAATGAACAAAATAAAAGTAATACAAGCTACTGTTTAATACATTGGTGGAGTAGTCACCCATGATATGAAGACGATACCTGATCATTAAATGCATCTCTAACACTCTGTTCAACTCTCTTTTCCTGAACCTGGTCTGAAGATAATGGGGCAAAGACAATAAAGTTGCCAGATTATTCACTAAACATCCCAAGGTTATTGAATTATGGCATTGTGACTTGCCATTGTTCAAACAAACTCTGACTACCAGTTACTGCTGTTAGTAATAATTTGTACAACTGACTTGTTACTAACCAACAATAAGAGGTCTTGCCATCGACTGTGGGGAAGCAAAACATGCAAAGGTGTTGTCAACTCTGGTAAACTTTGTTTCCATAGGACTTGTGACAGCCTGCCCTCGACACTGACCCCACATAAAGACCTAAAAGGCAGTGGAAATTAGTTTTTAAAAGATTATTCAGATATTAACAATTTGAAAATTATAGCTAAATGGAAAACTTTTTTGATAGCAGCTTCCTATTTTCAAAGGACCCTATGTTCTTGTGCAGTCACATAAAAGGTTCTACCTCTCTGAGGATCCATTAGAAAATGAACAATCCCTAATGCCAGGTTCTTGCCAAGCAATTCCAAAATCCTATCAGGAAGGGCTTCAAGCTGCAGCTATTCTGGTGGTCTAAACAATTTCTGACACTACCATATCATGCAGGATGCTGTCATCTGAAATTCATCTCAATCATTCATTCTCAGACTCATCTGTCTGCTTCAGAGCACTACCTTCCAATTTTGAATACTTTCCTGTCCAATTTTGGATGCCACTGTCTATTTTCAAAAATTTCCATGCTATTTCGGACACCAACATTTGATTTCAGGCAATATTTTAAATCTTTCAGACATTTCTGTCTGAGTTTAGATGTTATAATCTGTGTTTGGACACCTTTGTCTCATTTTGTACCCTTCTTTCAGTTTTTGGGCTCTTTTGTCTGCTTTTTGACCCTAAAGTTTGTTTGCTTTTTTTTTTCAGCCACTTTTGCCTAATTTCAGTGTTCAAAGGACTTAAGAAATATCTGTCAGAAAATAATGTTTTCCTGGGAGTAAAATAACATTTCTGGCTGCTACCATTCAATCAATTTAGGAAAACAATTGGTGACAATGGAAAAAGTTGAGCTTGGAGCCCTGCTGGGATATACTGATTCATGAGTAGAAAAACCTTGTAAACTATTAACTAAAGGTGATTGTACAAAGGGTGTACTAACATAAACAGTGCATACCTTTCCTGTGGCTGTCATAGCAGCTGATAAGTGACTGTAATGACAAGCGGCAACTTCAACAAACCTAGCAAGTGTCAATGATTAAAAAGAAAAGCATTCAAATCCTCAATCTGAGGTCCAGCACATTAACCACTGGGTCAACACATTTCTTAAATGACCTGTCATAGAAAAAATATTTCAAACAACATGATTACATACCTTCCTTTATCCAACCCTATCTTGGTTGGTGTGACTAAGTGTGCCTTGTTCCCTGTTCCAAGCTGTCCATAGGAGTTAGCCCCCCAGGCATATAGACATCCAGCATCTGATAGAGCCAGTGAGTGGGCATAACCACATACAATCTAAAACATCATTTCGTTAAATAGTTAGTAGGTGTAATTCTTGAAAGGATTAAGTTTTTGATCTA